AGAAGATATCCTGGATCGTTTTGGTGAACGCTACAACAACAATACTCATTTCTATACAACGTCTGTCTCACGTGATTACTCTGTGTGGTTCATAAGGTGGGGCGTGTGCTGCTTTGATGATGGCAATTCAACCCCCGACCCACCACCCTCCCCAACAACTCGCTCCAACCATTCTGCGGTCATGATTTGGGACTGTGATTCCATTTGCAAGTAAACTCACATTTCAACAATGAGGGTTTGAAAGCATTAAGCATTAGCTCTGTCTGCATGTCTGCTCTGTTGTAAAGATGATCCAATATGAACACAATTGTAGTACAACAGCTCACGTTGCTATTAGGGACCTAACAATGTTGAAAACTGGCCAAAATTGATTAAACGGCCCACTCATGGTCCAGAGCAGAACTCGGTACCACCTAAGGTAGCAAAACTTCAGTCGTACCCATTTATTTGGATGGAAAATGAAAGTAAATTACTTGATAGTCTCACTCATTGCATTTGTTTATCACTGGCCACATAGAGAAATTGAAACTGCTCAATGTAGGCCACCTCACGTGGTACCGACAAAGGAGACATCTCATGGGCTATGAAAAAATAAGAATAGGTTGTATCCTTTCTGGCAATAAAACAGATCTTAAGATTCATTGAAGAAGGTTTCTGTTTGGTGTTTGAACATCTAAACACCCGTTTTATTGCCAAAAAAGGATCAAATCTCTTCTTATAGTGTCATACTTTGATACCGGCAAAACGGTCTCATTTTGAAGCGTCTCATGGACTATTGGATGGGGAGAAAAAAACCGGCGCTAAAAGTCAGCGCCGACCTCTCCTGTCGTGCCCAGTGACGTCATCACGGGCGAAGTTCACCGCGCGAAGTCAAACGCCGCCTCGTGAGCGCCGCTCGAAACGCAAAATCATCTTTCTGTGATCATTTCCGAGGACAAACAAACGCATGCCGGGAACCGTGTGAGTTTGTGTTTCTTGTTTCCTCTGCGCAATGTGCGGGAGGGCTTCATCCAGCAGTGGATTGACAAAAGCGCTGTATGCATACTGCACAGGCTACGCTAACGTCACATTTAGGCCCATGGACCGAACAAACGCGGCTCTCTTTCTCCATCCGTCTCCACTCTCTCTCTCTTCCTCTCTCCACTTCTGGCCTGTAGGTTTGGGCCGAGCGAGTTCCTGCCGGGGATTTGGCTCTTCAGGAGCTGATTCCCCCCGTGGCTTTGTCGGCACGAGGCGACTGCGCGGAGTGTCAAGGGCTCCACCGGGCCCCAAGGCGCCGCCCCGGCACCACCGTAGTAGCCAAACCATCGGCGCTCGGCATGGCCTGTATGAAGGTCCTGCTGGACCGCATGTTGCGCATGGGGTACAACATCGTCCAGGAGAACGGACAGAGGAAGATCGGACCACCGCCCGACTGGCAGGGGCCCCCTCCCGCCCGTGGCTACGAGGTGTTTCTGGGGAGGATCCCGCGCGACCTCTACGAGGATGAGCTGGTGCCCGTGCTGGAGACGGTGGGGAAGCTCTACCAGCTCCGCCTCATGATGGAGATTAGCGGAGAGAACCGCGGCTATGCGTTCGCTACCTACGCGACGCTCGTCGAAGCCACGGATGCCGTCAAGAAACTCAACAAATTAGAGATCCGTCCCGGACACCGCATTGGAGTCCACTTTAGCGTGGACAATCGCCGCCTCTTCATTGGGGGGCTGCCAGAGGACAAGAAGCGAGCGGAGGTGATGATGGCGATGAGCGGTGCCACGGAGGGCGTGGTGGACGTCAAGATGAGCGTCTGTCGCTGGGACAAAACTCTCAACCGAGGCTACGCGTTCATCGAGTACGGGAGCCATCGCGCGGCCGCCATGGCCAGGAAGAAGCTCCTTCGAATCACCTTGCAGCTATGGGGCCGGACCATCAAGGTGGACTGGGCCATCTCGGAGCGGGTGGCTGCGGCCGCGGCGGTGGAGATGGAGGCGGCCGTGCCAGACCTGCTGCAGCCGGAGTGCACGGGCACCGGCAAAGCCGCACAAAGCCAATTTGGGGGCTGGGGGGCACGCATGCAGCTGTGGTGGGTACCTCTCCACCTGCGGCCCATGCCCATTGCTCTCGAGGCACTGCCGGAGGCGGCCATGCTGTCGTGGGAGGTGCGGCTGCGGATGCTGTGCCAGACCGCCGGCGTCAGCTACCCAATCTTCGAGCTGCACGCTTACTCGGAGCCCGGGATACCCGTGGGCCTCCTCTATAAGATGTCGATTCCTGGGGTGGGAGGAGGCGCCGGCATCTTCCCCGAATTTCTGAGCTCCAGCGAGGAGGGAGCACGGGAAGTGGCGTGTCAGCTTGCCTACAACATCCTCAACAATGCGAATCCCCCGCCTCCGGCCACGCCCTCTCGTGGAACCTCGGAGCAGGTTACACGAGAGGGCGTGGCCAGAGGCGTGGCTAGGCCCCGCCTCCGGCCACGCCCTCTCGTGGAACCTTTCGAGCAGGTTACTGGAGTAACTCGGCTAGCCCCACCTGTTGCCTTTGCCCCAGATGCGCCTCCTTCCCTGATTGGTTGTTACCTCTGTGGCCGTACCTGTTAAGCCCTTGCCAGGCCAGCAGGTGTCACCCTGTGATGTCAGCAGGTGTCACCTTGTGATGTCAGCAGGTGTCACCCTGTCATGTCAGCAGGTGTCACCCTGTGATGTCAGCAGGTGTCACCCTGTGATGTCAGCAGGTGTCACCCTGTGATGTCAGCAGGTGTCACCCTGTGATGTCAGCAGGTGTCACCCTGTGATGTCAGCAGGTGTCACCCTGTGATGTCAGCAGGTGTCACCCTGTCATTACACTTTAATGAAAACCGACAACAGAATCCTTGAAGAAAAAACTAATTCAGGTGTTTGACATGTCGACGCCATTTCGTTTTGAAAATGTAGCGGAGAAAAATATATTTTGTTCACATCGCATTCTGTTTTGTCAATAATCTCTGTAACGTGCGCCTGCTCTGCAAGGCATGCATTAACCCCTTTCTGTCTCAATTTAATTCCCAGCATGCAATTCTCCAAGCCTCAGATTTTATAAAATCTTTCGCGCAACTTTAATCCTGGTAAATATATTTTTGTTCTTTTAAAACACAAGCATTATATTTAGTCTATTGCATGGCTAAAGTATTCTAAGTAAAAATATAAATTGTATTAAACCAATGTTAGATCATCGCTATGATAAATATATTTCTACCCTACAATATACAAATCTACATTTTGCTAATGTTTCAATTCTACTTTTATTAACTTTCAAATATAGTGTCTAGGACACATTTTCAAAGATATATTTTAATGTACCCAGACAATATTTGCACGTGCCCACATTAAAAAAAACTTGCAGACTGCATACATAACTATGACAACAGAATCCTTGAAGAAAAAACGAATTCAGGTGTTTGACATTTCGTTTTGTACGGGAGAAAAATATATATTGTTCACATCGCATTCTGATGTCAAAACATTTGATTCTTTATAAAATTGAAAAACCCTTGAACAACTTTGCTGCACACGGAGATGTCCGTGCACCGCCTCGTTTCCACAGCTTCTATCCCGGTGCCATTTGTATTTCATGCACATACCGCTGTTAAGAGTTTGATGTTTTATTGATTTTCAATTTAGGTGTTTTTTTCCTGTAATGTTTTTTTGTACATTTTTTAGTGGAAATAAAGTCCTGAAAAGTCTCTTCCTCTCTCTCCACTCTCTCGGCCGAGTCTCTGCCACTTTTGGTTCTGAGTGTCGCATGCTTGGGATCCTTCTTTCCCTCCTCTGTGGATTTAATTTGATTTGCTGATTTACACGTCAACATATTTAAGACTTTTTCCTAATCATTACCAACGTTTCCATGGCCAGGCACTTTAGAGTAACTTATTACCTTTTCCCACAGCATCATAATATAATTTTCCTGGATCATCACCTTCATAGCTTTGATCCATTACCAATTTTTTTTTCAAATTTTCTTGCTGTGGTTTTCACACCTGATGATGATTGCTTGTGTTGCAGTCGAAACGTCGTGAGAATTTTATTGTTTTATATTTTTATTATTTTATTGTTTTCCTTATATGTGACTTTACCGAAAGAACCAAGAATATGAATCCCTGCAGTCACGAAAGCTTTAAATCTAAATTCAATCACCAATGGTTTACTGGTTCGTTTTTGTATTTACTTATGCCACCGTCTTTCCCCGTGGGACCATGTGGCGTGAAGTTGTGTCGCACATAAACAGAATCTGTTCACATCACGATTTTCCATACTCGACTGTCAGTTGCCATCCCCGGGGCAATGTGCACATTTGTCGACTCGGCGAATCGATTTGATTTCAGGTCCCGTTGGGTCGCCCCTTTTGTGCTTTTGCGTGAGCCGGATTTCAACGCAATTCCCGATCCGTTGTGGTGCCACGGTCTCGGAGCAACTCCGCCATCGCCTCGACTCCCCCGTGGCCCCCCACACCGAGCACGCACCTGCAGCGCGCACACGTAGCGTCCTGGCGGGGGTTTGCCCGTCACGACGGGTTTTCATCCGAAGGGTCTCTGGGATGAAAGTCCCGCGGTTTCCCGGTGCCAGGAGAATGGCCGACCCTCGCAGAGCGAGTCACATTGCGGCGCCCCTGAGTTGGCTTCAAATTGTTTGGGCGCGCGAAGGTTCGCCGGGTCGGCGGCGACGAGTCGTGCGCGACGCTCCCCGCCTTCTCGAGCCGCTCGCGGCATCTGCGACGCCGGCGAGCGCCGCTACGAGGCGGCGATAGGCAAAGTTCCCTTTCGTCTTCGTCCCTCCGACTCTCACGGCGTCCGCGAGACGCCGTGAGCACGGCCGCGAGGTACGTGATGGGGCCTGCGAGCATTTGCGGACTTGGGTAGCGGTAGGCCTAGGCTCCGCTCGTAGAATATTCCCTCCGGGCGGTGCGGGGTTTGCGCCACGAATAAAAGTTAGCAGAGAGCATCGGTGTGGTGCGTGTGTGATTCCCGTGCGGAGCGGCTGCGTGGGCGGATGCGCGGCGAGAGCGAGGGCGGAGCCGCGGCCGGAGCTCGCGCGTTGAGATCATCGCTCGTCGGCGTGGACCCGAGTGGGCCGCCGCGTGCTGCGTCAGCCGTAGTGGGCGCGCAGCGTGCACGGACGCGCGTTGAGATAATCGCCCGCAGGTGCTAGACCGTTCGGGCCCCGTGTTAACGACGGCTGCGGTGCGCGCGGATGCTCGTGGAGGTAATCGCTCGCCGGTGTAGGCGCTAGCATGCCGCTGTCCGCTGCGTTAGCGATAGCCGCGGTGCGCGCGGGGGTGCGTGGGTTTACTCCGTGCGGCCGTGAGCCAGCAGCACGAGTCTGTCCCTCGGAGAGGGCGCTAGCACGGGGGGCCCGATCGCTCGGTCGGCGGGGGCCCGGCGGGAGCCGACCGACGCGGTGGAGGAGGCGGCGGAAGGGGCGGACGTCGCGCCCCACCTGCCCAGCGAGGGCGGTGGGGTGGACGTCGGCCCCCACACCGCCATGGCCCTGTACACGTTAAAGTATTGAGCACAAACTCATGGAGCAGGGAAAATGGTAATGTTGCTTGGATTTAATTTTAATATCATTGCAACTGTATAGTTTTGATATGTTTTATTGAAAAACATTCACGTGCATTGGCATGTCCCTCTGTCTCAAACATTAATAATGTATCATCTGCAAATGTCCTTTAGCAATGTAAATGTTTGTTCAACATTGGTATGCAGCTTGAAGAATGACGGAGTCTTATAACTGAAGACACTTCAGATTTTCAATCAAAATTTACAAATAATACACTCTACCATAAACATGCTACATTCCAGCTAAAGTATAGTAGTATATTACTGTAAAGTAGTATGGTGTATAGCACAGATATTTTGTACAAACCCAGTGAGATGGGAGTGCTGCTTTGATGCATTACGCTTGGATCCGATATCATTGGTTCAATTCAGGCTAACCCCTAAGGGTACAATTTTATTTTTACAGTTTCAATCGGACCAAGTACCTGGGGAGGTTTATTCCAAGTCAACATGGCTTAAAATCTGCCATGCTGAAATAAAATAGCTGGACGTTATTGCTTCTGACGTGAGTGCAGAACTCGCTATCCATGCCAAGGTGCGGAGGCTCATTTGGGCGACCAAAGGAATTCCGAATGCATGTTACAATCACGTTAATTTCAGATGACTGGATTCATTGGTAGAGTGCTCCAACTTGGGCAGAGATTTCTGGCTGGAAAGTGATGTGGTTAAAACGTTTGTCTCGCAGTTTTAAAGGTTGCAATTTCAAAATACAGTTTGGGCATCAGAGCTCAATAAATTGAGTATTACTCTGTGTGAGGTTAACAGTCATCCAATGGAGAGACTTGGCTACGCCATATAAATGTGGAATTTATATCAGTTGACAGGTCAAACGTACTCTTTGTCCTTTTTGGTCACTTTATTATTATAGGCTAGTGTTGTTTGTGTGTGTTTAATCACAGAGATGGGGGGGGGGGGCATTGCACCTCGCTACACCCATCCACTGCTGACGGTAGAGGTTGACAAGTAAACACAAATCCAGTCATGACCAAAAGTGATTGCTGATTTTAAAACCGTCGTCTTGGTTGAATTTGTGTCTGTGTCTGTATATATGGATGGCTTCGTGAACGAATCTTTGTTGATAGCCAGTCGGCTTGCAAAGTACCATCGTCTTCGAGAAATCAATTTCATGTGAGCCTGTTGTATATGAGCCTTTTCCTCATCAAGACTCTGCACCATAGAGCCCAATGCATATCCGACCAGGAACACATAGCCAGTGAACTCAAGCACGTACACCAAGCTCTTAAGGCTAATGGTTACTCCGACTACACAATCTGCAAAGCTATCACTCCAACCATGAAGAAGGACCCTCTTGAGGAGCCTTTCAAAACCATCACTTTACCCTCATTGCGGGGATCACGAAAAAATATCTCCAAAATCTTGAATAAACACAAGATCCAGGTCCGTTTCAACACATTACATAAAATCCGTGATCTGGTTCCGTCTGTAAAAGATGTGATTCCGGACATACAGTACCCTGGCGTCTATAAACTAAGTTGCCTCTGTGGTAGTAGTTACATTGGAGAAACCAAACGACATGTCTCGGACCGCATTCGTGAACACGAAGCAGACCTAAAACACGGTAGGACCAACACCTCGGCCGTGGCAGATCACTGTTATAATTCAGTAGGCTCACATGACATTGACTTCTCCAAGACGGAGGTTCTTTGCAATCCATCTGGCTACCATGAGAGATTCGTTCATGAGGCTATCCACATATACAAGCACAGAGACAATTTCAACCGAGAGGAAGAAATTCTGGCTTAGCAATCATTGGAAGGATTTGATAAACCATTTCGGGTCTTAATTGATTGTTCACGCTTACGGTGGCTTTCAGACAGCATACATTAATTTTTAGTCTCCCCCCTCCTCTTTTCAAAACATAGATGGACTCGTCCTTCTAAATAAACTGCCAAATCACTCTTTGTGGAGCTAACGTTTAAAAATAAATAAATACAAACCGCCACTTCTTTCAAATGTTTCTTGCCGTTGGTTTTCACACCTGATGATGACTGCTTGTGTTACAGTGGAAACGTCGTGAGAATTTTATTGTTTTATATATTTATTTTATTTTATTGTTTCCCTTCAACGTGACTTTACCGAAAGAACCAAGAATATAATTCATTGTTTATTATGTTCGTGTTACATTTTAAACAGAAAATGTTTACGTTTGCGGGACCTCTTTGGCCCAGAATTAAAATGGTGACAGAAAGGGACGTGGCGTGAACACCTACACACACTCAGTGTACACACACACTCAGTGTACACACACACAGAGAAAAGGACGTGGCGTGAACACCTTCTGCCTATAAACAAACAGCAGCAGCAGCAGTGGCTGTGAAGGTGTTGATCTGACTGGTGTCAGAACATCAACAACAACAACCACCACCACCAGGGTAATGGGGGGTGGTGGTGAAGGGTGGTGCGGGGGTGGTGGGGGTGGTGGAGGACTCCCCGGGTCTGCCAAGTGGTGGCCTGTGTCTGCGTGTGTACACACAGAGAGTGTACACATACAGAGTGTAAACACAGTGTATATGTAGGGGTGCTATGGGGAATAAACACATGACACGGGAAGGTGTGGTTCACCCACACCTTGGTGGCTACAACAACGTCCGCTAAGGCTCCAGTGGGTATAAAGTGCGGGGAGCCAGGGAGCTCGGGGCAGAGTGTGGGGCCCGAGGCTGAAGCAACCAGTGAAGAAAGAAGGCCAGCTAGGTGAGACCCTGGAACTCCTGTGACCGCTGCCCTTTTCAGGGCCGGCACAGCAAGCCAGTGGTGCGGCCCCAGAGCCCCAGAGTCAGAGTCCTTCTAAGGGCCGGTCTGGTCGGCGGGGTGCCGAGATCTGTGCCTAACCAGGGCCGGATCTGATAGCCTCCCTTAGAGCCCTACCAGGAGGAACTGGGAGCCTAGAGCTTAGGCCAGAGAGCCTGGGGTGTGTTCCTGAGTTATACGGGTGGAGGGGCCGCTACCCCTTCTAGTGTAACCCTTGTTAAGGTTTAAATAAATAGTGCTGCTTCTATTCTGCCGTCTCCGTGTCCTGGAACCCACTACAACTGGTGTCAGAAGTGGTCTTAAAATGGACACAAGGAGTACAAACCGATCACAGGAACCCCAGGAGGAGGACGGCTCGCCTGGGATTGCGCCAGAGGCCGCGGCCGACGATCCTGGGATGTCCCAGACGCCCCAACAGCAGCCGCCGCTGGAGGAGTGGCCGCCGATGGAGGACGGGTTGCAGGCGGCTCACTCTCGACTGGCTGAGCTGCTGTATGCCGCGGCTTCCACGCTGGAGGAAATCAACCGCGCGGGGCTGCGGGCGCAAAGGCGGCAGAGAGACGAACGCCGTTCAACGGCCATTCCCGCCGAAACACAGCCACCAGATTTCGGATTTGCCGCCATGACAGTGTCCGCCACGGCGATTGGAGGGTCGCAGCGCCACGTGGACGCTGTGGGCCAATCAGCGGTGGTGACGTCATCACCAACGGACGCCCGCTGTCAGGACCAATCGGCGGGCGCATCGTCATCACCTGCGCGACCGCCGATGGGTGTCCCCAGCCCCTCAGACACCGGTGGAGAGGCCGGAAATGGCGCGCGGCACCTCTCAGAGACGAAGCCATCGTTTCAACAACGCCTGCCGGTGTTGAAGGAGTTCGTTTCAGACGGCGGCGACTGGGGGGCCTTTCAACGCCGCTTTCTCGCTCATCAAGAGATGGCCGGCTGGACGGACAACGAGGCGTTGAGTGCGCTACCGGCCATGCTGGACGATGACGCCCTTGCTACGCTCATCACAGCTCCCAGATCAACGCGATCTACGCTACAGTCGGCGCTCCAGGTCCTCACCATAGTCTACGGGCCATCATCGGACTGCCGCAAACTCTTCCACGAGCGGTGCAGGGGCCAGAAGGAGCCACCGCTGGCGTATCGCACGGCTCTCCTGGCCCTCGCAAAAGCGGCTTTCCCGCGGATGGACGGCGAAGGGGTGGACGCGATGGTGACGGAGAAGCTCCTGGCGTTGGCCCAGGAGCTACAGATCGTCATCGTCGCAGAGGACGACGCGGACATGTGCTCCTTGCGGGCAGCAAGACACATCCACGCGCACCTGATAGCGCAGCGTCGATCACCTCTCGTCCCCAAGGGCGCAGCTGCGGTGTGCGCTGGGACGCCGACCATCCCCCCCTCCGAGGAGGTCTTCGCGGCGGGTCGCCCGGTGGAGTGGAGATCCGGAGGGAGGCCGGCTCGGACCACACCGGATCGCCAGGAGCACCCCAAGGCGCTCATCACGTGCTACAACTGTGGCCGCAAGGGCCACGTGGCTGCGGAATGCCGGGCGCCTCGTCAACGACAGCCGGGACGGTCGGACGGCGCTCCAGCCTACAGGCCTCCGCATCGCAACCCGGCAAGTCGCGGCACCCCACATGCTCGGCCTGTGCACACACCTGTCCCCACCTCGCGCGTTTCGGTGTACGGGCCTCGGGGTACGCCCATTGGTTTGTTGGGTGGCGGCGGGGTCGAGAGGGTGCTCGGGCCGGGGCAGTGGACGGAATTGGCCCACCGCATTGTTGCTGCGTCGGCAGGCTCGTCCGTGGTCG